GGTTAAGGGTCCAACTCTTGGTTTTGGCTCAGGTCATGATCCCGGGGTCCTGGGAGCATTGGGCTCTCTGCTCAGAGGGTGCTTACCCTCTCTCTCTCCCTCTGCCCCTCCCCTCGCTTGTGCACTCTCTCTCAAATAAATAAATCTTAAAAAAATTAATTCAAAATAGATTGCAAACCTACTCGTGAGATGTAAAACTATAAAACCTTAGGAAAAAAATAGGGAAAAGCTTCATGACATTGGATTTGACAACGGTTTCTTGGCTATGTCATCAAAAGGCAACAAAAATAGCTATAGATCAATTGGACTACATCAAAATAAATAATTTCTATGCATCGAAATCGACAAAGTGAAAATGCAACCTACAGAAGGGGAGGAAGTATCTGCGAGTTATATATCTGATAAGGGGTTAAAATCCAGAAGATAGAAAGAACTCATACAACCCAACAACAGAAAATTACCTAATTTAAAAATCTGCAAAGGACTTGAATCAACATTTCTCCAAAGATGCTATCCAAATGGCCAACAAGCATATAGAAAGATGTTCAAGACCACTAATGATTAGGGAAATGTAAATAAAAACCACAAGGAGATATCACATCACACCCAATAGGATGCCTACAATGCAAAGAAAAGAACAGAACAAGTGGAGGCCAGGATGTGAAGAAATTGGAACCCGTGTGGCCCTATTGAGGGACATAAAATGGTGCAGCTACTATGTAAGACAGTATGGCGGTTCTTCAAAAAAAGTAAAAGTAGAATTACCATTATGATCCAGAGTCCACTTCTGGGCATATATCCAAATGAACTGAAAGCAGAGCCTCGAAGAGATGTTTATGCACCCACGTTCATAGCAGCATTATTCACAAGAGCCAAAAGTGGGAGCAACCCCAGTGTCCATTGATGGATGAGTGGATAAACACAAATGTGTTCTACCCATACAATGGAATATTATTCAGCTTTAAAGGAGGAAGGAAACGCTAACACAGGCTACAACATGGATGAACTTTGAGGACATTATACTAAGTGAAATAACCCAGCCACAAAAAGACAAATACTGTATGATTCCACTTATATGAGGTACCTAGAATAATCAAATTCATAGAGACAGGAAGTAGACTGGTGATTGCCAGGAGTTGGGGGAAGGAGGGAAAAAGATTTAATAGGTAAAGAGTTTCAGTTTTGCAAGATGGAAAGTTCTGGGTATTGGTTGCACAACAATGGGAATATACTTAACATTACTGAACTGTACACTTAGAAATGCTTAGGATGGTAAATTTTATGTTTATTTTAGCACAATTAATTTTAAAGAAATGTTGACTTTTTATGTAAAATCTCCTAATTTGCAAATGTTGGCAACTGTCCTGAACCTATAGTTGCCTACCTAATGGCAATTTCCCTCTCTTTCTTAATAAATAGCCAAGTCCCAAATGTATCTCAGTGACCATCTCTCTACTTCCATGACTCAGGTAAATCCTGACTGGTTCAAGTCAATCATAGTGGTCTTATTCCTCTTGTCAGTGATGCATTTAGAGGTGAATGTGTGACCCAGTTCTGACTGATAAGGTGTGAGGAGAAGTCTTCTGGAGGGTTTTAGAAAAGGTTTCTTAGCTCTGAAAATGAGACATAGTAGAGAGAAATGGCCCTATTCCATTTATGGACATTGGCTGATATCAGGGTAAGATGCCTGGAGCTGTTGCAGTAATTTTCCAACCAAAAGGAAGCCATAGGCAGACCTGCAAGATGGAAAGAATCTGGGGTCTCAGTGTCTTTGGGTTGGACATAGCCTTCTTGCCTCTAGACTTTTGGTGATATGAGATAATCCATCTGCTTACTGTTTAATCATTTTGAGTTGCATTTTAAAGGTGGAGGCTTACCAAATGTCCATTGACTGATGAATGGATAAAGAAGTTGTGGGATATATTATGTATAAAATATACTATATATTTATATATATAAATATATATAATGGAATATTACTCAGCCATAAAAAAGAATGAAAGCTTACCATTTGCAATGACATGGATGGAGCTAGAGTGTATCATGCTAAGCAAAATAAATCAATCAGAAAAGGACAAATACCACATACCATATGATCACTCACATGTGGAATTTAAGAAACGAAACAAATGAACATGGGGGGGCAAAAATGAGGCAGGCAGCCATAGAACAGACTCTTAACTAGAGAGAACAAACTGAGGGTTGCTGGAGGAGAAGTGGGGGGCGGGGATGAGCTAAATGGGTGATGGGCATTAAGGAGGGCACTTGTGATGAGCACTGGGTGTTATATGTAAGTGATGAATCACTAAATTCTACCCCTGAAAATAATATTACACTGTATGTTAACTGGAATTTAAATAAAAACTTGAAACAAAAACAAAAAAATAAAAAATAAAAGTTGAAGTTTAGAAGATCTTAAATTACATATTATACAGAGGGGAAAAAAACATGTGGCTCAAATAAAAGAAGTCTTCAACCAATCTGACCCAGAGGCAGGCAATTCACTACCCTAGGTTTATCCCTAACCAGTTACATTAACACTACTTCTTATGGAAGTTCTCCCTGCATTATTCAAACTAAATCAGAGCCCCTACCCTCCTTTTTTCTCCATGGTTCAGGCTTCAGAGAAGGCCCCAGTCATCTCTATGTCCCACATCAAGCATCGGACTATAGTGATCTCCTTTAAGACTTCCATGATATTTCTGTTGAATAAGCTCAATCATGTTTGCATCTCTGGTTGCCTATTTCTAGAAGTTGCTCTTGCAATTGCCAGCTCTGCAACTGTTGGACTCAGCAGCCATCCTATAGAACATTAACCCTTTATTAGTCTTTGATATGAAATCTGATTTTCATATATTAACAGAACTACCCCAGCTTTGACTCCTGTTAGCGTATCTTTTTCTATCCTTTTTACTTATTTGTATGCTTATATTTAAAGTGGGTTCCTTTTAGGCAGCATACAGTTGGGTCTTACTTTTCTTTTAAAATCTAATCTTGTTAATCTAATCTCTGCCTTTTACTTGCAGGAGTCACTTTCTAGTCTAGAAAAGAAAAAAAAAAAAAAAAGAATTCACCCATCTTTCTGCACCTAGGAATTTTTTTCTCTAACACAACATTTGAAAAATAGTTGTCATTCCTTACATACACTTTCATGGGTATAGTAGGGGTTTGGAAAGTGGCAGTGCTTGGCAAGAATGCCTGGGGTCTGGGATGGGGCAAGTCAGAGACAGCAAGAACTGCCAGTGGACTTTTGCATTAGCTCGGTAGGTATAACAGAGAGCCTGAACTTCAAGGTCCTCTGGAAAAGTTCTTCAGAAGTTAGTGACAGACTGTTTATAGTCACCAAGATTTCTCTTTTCTGGTCTCTGGGTAAGTATTAGTCACCCTCTTTACTGAAATTATGCAAAGCATAAGAAAGTTCAGAGTGTTTGAGCTGCTGCTGAGAACTTGGAGCATTTAGTTGGATCTTTCCTTTTATGGTTGAGGAAAAGGAAGTCAGAAAAGTGCCCTGGGTCATGCCTTTGGCTAGTGGTGGGCCTTGGAATAGAACCAAGTCCTTTCCGGATTTCCCGAAAGCCTGGAGAACTTTATTGGTTGAACGGTAACTTTTGTATTCTGCTTAAAGAAAATAAGATCTATTTAATTTCTATTCTTCACCCCTGTTTTGATTTGTGGCCCCACTCAGAGTCTGAGAAAAACAATGACAAAACAAACAGGGAAAAGCCTGTAAGAACAGTATGAAATACACAGATAGCAAAACAGATAGACTGACAGAGCACTGGGACACACAGATAAGAGAACACAGTCAAAGAAAAGGAAACTAGAAAACAAGATTTTCAGGGAGGTGCCTGGAGTGTAGGGTTATTAGCCCCATCTTGTGGCCTTTTCAGAGACTGCCTCTCAGGTTAATTTTTGAATCAGTAACTGTTAACTCCAGATGTGATCTAGAACAGTGGGCCTCAAGATTTAGTGTGCCTGGGAATCCCTGGAGAGCACGTGAAAATGCAAATACCTGGGCCTTTCTCTCAGAGAGGCAAGTAGATCAAAGTGGGCCCAGGAATCTGCTTTTAAAAAGCTCCCCAGGTAATGCAGAACCATGAGCCATGCATAAGAAACAGTGCAGAAGGCAGTAATTGGTGGTGTTCATCCCCTTGGCTTTGTGGGAAACAGGCTACTCTGAGGAAAAGTTTGAAAGACAGCTGTCAAGAACTATAAAACGACTGAGATTTTAGCCTTTTTGCAAATTAACAAGTTAGCCTGTAACAGGTTCAAGAATGCTGGTAGGTGAGAGTCCTGCATCAGAGACAAAGAGAGGCTCATTACTAACGTTGGTAACAACAGTCCGAGAATTATCATTTGGGCCACTTTTCTGAGCCCCGATTCCCAGAATCCTCTGTGATGAGGGCCATGGCAGGCGGCCTTATAGAAGAGCAATTAGAAGCTCAGGGAAACAGAATCTCTCATAACGGAGATTAAGTCGGCCAGATCTTTGCCTGGAGGGAGACATTATTTTTGTCCAAGGCTATTCACCACAGAAACATCCTTGAAAAGGTATTCCAAAAAAGGCAGTCAGTGCCTCTGCTCAAAAACAGAAAAATGACAACTGGAGAACTGTCTTCCAACAGAAACCGGGAAAATGGACGTGTGTCAGGGGAAAGGAATCCTACATCTGAAGGCTGTAAAGTGGTCAAACTGAGGCAAGAATGGGGAGTTGGGAGACAGTCAGGCCTGCTATAGCAGGTAGGAATTCAGCCTGGATTCTACTTCCCATAGCTCGCTTCAAAGCAATCCCTGCTCCTTCTGTTTTAACGGGGGCCTGCCTCATGTAATGAGTACTTTCCGTATTTAATTTTAATCCTCACATCTCACGTAGACAAGTGATACGATCACCATTTTACTCATTAGGAAACAGAGTTTGGAAACACTGTGACCCGCCCACTTATGCAACCACGGGACACAAGGGTCTTTTTAGAGGTCTTCCCACTACCCGCTTCTCTCACCTGTTTCCTCTTTACTCCAGGGTACAGAATTAAGACTGGCCAAACTAAGTGAACAACGAAAGCAAGGGTGGGGGACAGATCTTTGCCCCTACTTCGGAACCAGGAAGTGGAGCGCTCGCTCTTTCCCAACTGCGCGGACCAGAAATTTCCAGGGAGTGGTTGAGGAAGAGGCTCCCGAACTTCCTGTCGCATTTCAAATCGGAAATAGGTTTCCCGTGACACGGAAGCCCGGCAGCACAAATGGGGAGTTTCCTTCTCCCTAACCCCGGCCAGACCGCAGAGGACCGGCGACGACCGGCGACGACCGGCAAGGATCGCAGAGCGCCGGGGTCCGCCCCGCTCTTCCGGGGTTTCCTGCGCGGATCGGAACTGGGGCGGAGCCGCCAGAGCGCGCCCCTCGCGATTGGACGGCGCTGCTGTCGCTCAGCGCTCCGAACGGAAGGGGCCGGGCGCCGCTCACCGCGGGGTCCCGGAGCCTCTAGGCGGGTGGGAGAGGCGGGAGCGAGAGTTGCAGGTTTGGGATCCGGCGGCCGGGGCGATGGAGCTGGGTCCCGCCGCGTCCCCTGGGCCTTCCCGCTCCTTCAAGGAGGAGTTGCTCTGTGCCGTCTGCTACGACCCCTTCCGCGACGCCGTGACTCTGCGCTGCGGCCACAACTTCTGCCGCGGGTGCGTGACCCGCTGCTGGGAGGTGCAGGTGGCGCCCACCTGCCCGGTGTGCAAGGACCGCGCGGCCCTCGCCGACCTGCGCACCAACCACACCCTCAACAACCTGGTGGAGAAGCTGCTGCGCGAGGAGGCCGAGGGCGCGCGCTGGGCGGGCCACCGCTCCCCGCGCCTCTGCCGCCCTCACCGCGGCCAGTTCAGCCTCTTCTGCCTCGACGATAAGGAGCTGCTGTGCTGCTCGTGCCAGGCCGACCCCCGGCACCAGGGGCACCGCGTGCAGCCAGTGAAAGACACTGCCCACGACTTTCGGGTAAGAGCGGCAGTGTGCGGGGGGTGGCCGAGCGCGCACGTGGCGGCCGGGTCCGGACTGCAACTCAGCACCCCTGGGCCCCCGCGGCTCCCGCCACTGCAGCCTGCCAGAGCTCTGTGCCCAGGCCCCCGCCTGGTCCTGCGGCCAGGACCCCCAGCGCTCTGACTTGGCTAACCTACAGAGGGGTCGGCCCAGGGGGCCTGGGATGGGTGAAGAGGGATTGTAAACAGAAGTGTGGGAACTGAGGTTACACGATGCTCCCAAGACGGCCCACCCACTTCTGAAGGGCTGAGGCCAGCACCCTCTATGCCAGCAGGGTGTGGCACGGGCCCGGTTGAGAAGGACAGGTGTGGGTAACGCCCAAGAATCTTGGAGCTTGGCATACTCAAGTTAGAGGTGTGGGAGTCCAAGACCTGGCCTAAAGGTCTCCCAAAAGGGGTCCCATACTTCCCCGACCCGGCCCTATGTGTTGTGTAGGAGTGGAGAGGCTTTTGGCATTGGCTGGCTGGTTTATTCTGGATCTCAGCACCCCAATGCCTAGAGTTCCTGTGGCTGTAAATAAAGTGAATGGAAAATACTTTGGTATAGAAGTAACACGGAGACTACTTTGGTGTAAGAAGGAAAAATGATCAGAAAATAAGGATTAGCCAACTTAGGAGTTTTCAGAATTTTTGACCTTAGTCCATAGTAAGCTCATGTTTTGACCTTAACACCCTATTTTTTCTGTTGTGATCCGGAACACCCTTATGTATTGTATCACTTGAAACAAAAGTTCTGTGAAAATGTCTGTTGTATTCTGGCATTTTCTGTTATTTTATTTTTATTTATGGTTTTATTTAAAAGATTGCAGAGGGTGTGAAACACTAATTTATTTCCTCACCTACTAACACATGGGTCAGACCCACTGGTAGGAAGCTGAGTGTATTGAAAAGGAGGCACTGTAAGAACCCCTAATGCCTGGTCTCCAGACACTGTTTTTTGTTTTGTTTGTTTTAAGGCCTTTCTTAAGAAATATTTAAAGTTGGTTAGAATTTCATACACATTTAGACAGAGTTCAGGTGAAGGGGAATGTCTTTAGTATGCATGTTTGAATACTACAGTAGCTTACCACGGGGATAACCCTATAACTCCTGTTGCCTTATTTGTTTAACAGTGGTCCACAACAATGCTTTTCCCCATTACCACTGGCAGAAGTGCCAGGTCCTGATGTGGGACAGCTAAAGTAAGTGCATTCTGGGGGCTGGGGTCGAGGTAGGGGGGGCACCATGGATCAGGTCATGACTCATCACCATGGGGCTGTCCCAGGTACAGATCAGGAAGATGGGCAGGAGTCAAGGCCAGGAGCACTAAGGCAGAACCCCTAGGTCCGGGCTAATCCAGGGTTCAAGATTAGTGAGTCAGGTGCCGGGAAGCAAATAGGGTCTAGGGACAACTTCCTGTTCCTTCAGCAGATGCCTTGTACTGCTTGGTCCCAGGGGTACTGCAAGGCATAAGATAAACAACAATTCATACCTTCAAGGAGCTTCAAGCAGAGACCTGAGGGATGAGGAGGTGTTAGCCAGGTGAAGAGAGTGAGGGAGGGTATTTTGGCCAGAGGCAGCAGCATACGTAAGGGTCCAGAAGCTGGGAGGCCTAACTTTCTAGGCGCTAAGAATTTCAGAGTAGTTAAAATAAGGTTGGAAATGCAGAAGAAGCCATGAGGCCTGAGGCTTGGCCTTTATCCTAAAGACGGTAGGGAGCAGTAGGAGGGTTTTACACAGAGGGATGATGCAGTCAGATTGATAGGCACCCAGGGCGATGTATGAGGAGGTAGGGAGTCTAGTCCGGAAAGATCTGAGGAGAATGCAAGCCCAGTGTGCTCAGCCTGATGCAGGGTGGAACTCATTCAGCGTGTTAGACAGCTGTGTATCAAGGACTTGTGTTGTGTTGTGTTCTGGAACCTGTGAGGGGTGCTGAGGCCGCAAAGGTAAGACAGAGCCCTCACCCTGTGGCGCTCATGGCGTAGCAAGGGAAGTCAGACAGTAAATAGACAAGTTGTGCTGGCTGGGCGCAGAGCAGTGTGGGAGGGCTGGAGAGGTGAGAAGAGGCTGAAGGGGCTGCTGTTGGGTGCCGTGGGGAGCTCTGAAAGCTTCTAAATAGGGACTTCGTGGTGAGATGTGTGCTTAGAAAGATCACTTAGGCAACCCTGTGAGGAATTCGACAAAAAGAGTAATTGTACCAGCCAACACTTTGGGAGCGCTTACTGTGTGCCAGGTGATCTTGGTGTGTTTACATGTCAATAAATTTAATCCTCACAAAACCCCTGTGAGGTTGTGTGTTAGTTTCCTATCGCTGTTGTAATAAATTGCCACAAACATGGCAATTTAACACAGCACACATGTATTTTCTCACAGTTCTGGAGGTCAGAAGTCCTAAAATAAAGGTGTTGGCAGGGCTACGTGCCTTTTGAGACTAGGAGAGAATTTATTTGCTTGCCTTGTCCAGCTTCTAGAGGCCGCTTCCTCCATCTTTAAAGCACATCATTCCAACTTCTGCTTCTTTTTTCCCATTGCTTTCTCTGACTCTACTAACTTCCTCTTTCTTATACGGACCCTTTGATTACATTGAGCGCATAGAGACAATCCAGGATAATCATCCATCTTAAAATCCATAATTTAACCACATCTATAAAGTCCTCTTTGTCATATAAATAATACATTCACAGCTTCTAAGTTCTAAGATGTGGACATCTTTATTCAGCTTACCACAGGTAGATACTATTCTCCCCATTTTACAGACAGTGACACTGAGTCTCGGGTTAAGTAACTTGTCCAAAGTCACAGAGCAGGTATTATATAGAGTTCACCTGGAGCCTTGTTGGGCCCCTACTCTGGTCATGGACTTTGAAAGAAACTTCTTTGGTCCCCAGGTAATACTTTCCCTGCTGGCTCTCTGTTCTGGGAGCTCTGAGGACAGCGGGTTATGTGTGGGTATTTAAGAGGCTCGAGTGGATGAGGACCACTATCCTACCGTGTGGGTCCCTACTATGTGCTAGGTGCAGTATATTCAGTAGAGGACAGAGGAGTCCTAGCCCCTGGCTTCTTGGAGTCAGATAGGCATAATTTAATAATAATCGACTGACATTCCTGTGAGGGACAGTACAGGAGGTGACAGACGGCTGTAACAAGGAGCCTGCTCTTGTCTGGTGGGAGTGATTTCACAGAGACCTGAAGGCTTGGAAGGAGTTCGCTAAGTGAGGGGCAGCAAGCAGTGGTGGTGGGGCAGAGGGCAGGGAAGGCAGGGATCCAGAGACGTCTGGACAAGGAAGGAAGGCGTCCGGAACAGATCCCAAGGGGCATCCAGGGCATGTTAAGAGATCTGAGATTTTGTCCTAAAGACAGTGGGGCGAGAAGGGAAAGAACTGCTGAGCTATCCAGACATGCCAAAAGGGTTGAGACCAGAGCGCTGAAGTGCGTGTTGGAGCTTGAAGGGACAGCCTCTAGCACTTGTTTCTCAAACTTGAAGAACGCACCCATTCTTCTTAAAGGAAAAGCTGTTCCAGCACTGTGACTTAAAATACATTCCGTACATACAAACGCTAAGCTAGCGTAAATTCCTCTTGCTTATTGCACATATAGGCAGTAAAACAACAACAGTTTACAGGTAAAGCACAAAAGAAAATCAGTTCAGTTCTAGTTGAAATATTCATCACCAGGCTTTATTTAGCTGAAAGGAAAGCACTGCTCTGGGCGGCTGTGAGGCTTGTCTGACAATGTTTGGGATACTCCTTTACGCTCTTCTGTGTGGTTCCTTGATTTGCCAGTCTGAATTTCCCTCTTTGCAGATCTGAAACTTTTCCTGCGCTACAGTTGGCCTTCATTTAGATCTAGCATATCCTTCACTCCTTCACAAATTAAGTGTACTTCTGTTCTATCATTATGAGGCCAAGACAATGAAAGTAGTGTCGTTTGATGTCAAGGTAGTTGTTAACAAATACAAATGCCGGCACTGCAGTTGTAAGAACTGAAAGCGTGTGTCCACACTGTTTATAAGGCAACTTGGAAAAGGTTTACCTTAGGTATTTTTGTTTGTTTGTTTGTTTGTTTGTTTAGGTTATTGAATGAAAACACTAATTGAAAACTCTTGTGGAAAACTTGCAGGTCCCCAAAAACAGGCCCAGAGCCGTGGGGCACTGTGAGGAGACGGTTCTATTTTACTAGTGAGAAAACAGAAACTTGGAGGAATGCAGCAACTCCTGGCATTGGCAGGGAATGGCAAGGGTACATCTAGGATTAGAACTCAGATTTCCTGACTCCCCGTCTGGTGTTTGCTCTGCCTTGCATCATCAAGGCAAGCCTGCCCGAACTCCTG